TTTTGGCAAACATGCTTCTTCTTCTTCAAGTGCCCTCTCCACTACGGAGTTTAACAATCATCATTGCTATTCGTATCTTTGAAGCTGTTGTTCTAAATAATTGGTTAGATGTGCACTGGAACCAGTCTCTTAAATTGCGAAGCCAAGATATACGTGGTCTCCCCACGCTTCGTTTGACTTGAATATTTCCTTGGATAATTAATTGGAGCAATCGGTATTTTTTCCCTCTCATCACATGACCAAGATATTCCAACTTTCTCCTCTTGATGGTGATCAACAGCTCTTGTTCTTTGTTCATTCTTCGAAGAACTACACTATTTGTTATTTGGTCTGTTCAAGGTATTTTCAAAATTCTTCTATATATATATATATATATATATATATATATATATATATATATATATATATATATTATATATATATACATTTCGAAAGCCTCTAGTTTATCGGTATTGCTCTTGTTTAAAGTCCAAGTCTCTACAGCAGTATCGAAAAGATATAGCATCTAACCAATCTCATTTTCAGGTTTAAGTTAATGTCATGACTTCCCAGAATGTCCTTCATATTAACAAAAGCAACTCTAGCCTTTTCGATTCTAGTTTTTATTTCTTCTGTGATGTCATTGTTGTTATTAACACTTGTTCCCAAATATTTATATTTGTGCACCCGTTCGATTTCGTTCTTGTGAATGTACAGGTTTGCATTCAATCTTTGTTTTTTTAAAATAATCATAAATTTCGTCTTCTTGATATTCAATCGTATCTATAGAAAGTGCGAAATAATCATCGGAGACGATCAGTTTGGATTCAGAGCCGGCATGGGAACGAGAGAAGCCCTGTTCAGTTTACTAGTTCTTGCCCAAAAATGTCACGACCAACAGAAAGATATATTTATATGCCTTGTAGACTTCGAAAAAGCATTTGATAGAGTAATACACGACCTACTATTAGAACGTTTGCAAGAAGTCGGTTTAGATGGAAAATACATCAAATTCTTAAAAAACTTGTACTGGAACCAAAAGACCAGAGTTAGGATCGAAGGTTCCACATCCGCAGAAGTAGAAATTAGGAGGAAAGTTAGACTAGGATGTGTTCTGATGCCTCCGCTGTTTAATCTTTACTCCGAGTTTCTATTTAAAGAAGCATTGGAGGATTCCAACGATGGAGTCAATGTGAATGGCGTAAATATCAACAGTATTAGATAAGCCCATGATACAGTATTAATTGCGGATTACGACTTAGGTCTACAACGACTCATCGACAAGACCAACTCGACCTGTAAGCAATTTGGTATAAAAATAAACATTAAAAAAATCAAAGTGATATCAATCCGAAAAAACCAAAACGTACCTCAACCTTGCACAATAAATGGGCACATTTTAGAACAGGTCAATAGATTTAAGTACCTAGGATGTTGTATCGATAGCAGCCTAAGTCCTGATCCAGAAATAAGATCGAGAATAGAACAGGCCAGAAAATCTTTCGAAAAAATAAAAAAACTGCTTTGTGATTCTCTAATAAAACTCGAAATTCGACTACGTTTATCAAAATGCTACGTCTGGTCGATTTTTCTATATGCAGTTGAAACGTGGACCCTTAAAACATCAACCGTAAATAAATTGGAGGCCTTTGAAATGTGGATCTACCGGAGAATACTCAAAATTTCATGGACATCGCATACCTCAAACGAAGAAGTGCCGCATAGAATAGGCAAGGAAAGAGAACTTTTTAACACAGTAAAAGTTAGAAAAACATCATACCTATGCCACATACTGAGAAATAATAAGTATCAATATGCCCAACTTATAGTGAAAGGAAAAATCGAGGGAAAGAGAGGCCTAGGAAGGAAAAGACTATCGTGGCTCAGAAACATCCGACAATGGACAGGGCTAAATTTTGAACAGCTAATAACAACAGCTGAAGATAGAGAAGAGTTTAAAATTGTAGTAGCCAACCTCCATTGAGGAGAGGGCACTTTAAGAAAGAAAGGTGATAGCATACATCCTTGTCTAACTCATTTTTTAATTTGACTTTCATTTGTTATGTTATTTTCGATGCGTGCGACTGCCTTCTGATTATAATACAGAGTAGATATTATGCTTATATCTCGAGTGTCTAACTGTTTAGTTTTCAAGATCTCTAAAAGTTGGTCATGCTTGACGTTATCAAACACCTTGTTGTAATCAATAAAACAAGTAAATACATCTTGATTCACATCCAAACACCTCTGTGTCAATATGTTAAAGGCAAATAATGATTCGCGAGTTCCATATCACTCCCGGAATCCAAACTGAGTTTCTCCGATATCTTCTTCTAATTTTCTGTAAATTCTATTGTGAATTATTTTGAGGAATATTTTTAAGGTACGGCTCATCAGACTGATCGTGCGATGATCACTGCACTGCTTAGCATGTGCCTTATTGGGAAGAGGGACAAAGGTTGATCTTAGCCATTGTCAGGAATTATACTGTTTTCATAAATCTTGTTAAATAAGTCTACTAACAAATGGATTCGATCTTCGTCTATCAACTTTAGTATAACCGCTGATAGCCCGTCTAGTCCTGGAGCTTTGCTATTCTTTGATGACTTCACCGCTTGCATTACTTCTTCTTTGCTTATTTCTGGACCTGTCTCCTCTGGAAAATTATCACAAGGAGGCTGCCTTTTATCGTCAAACAGTTCTTCTATGTATGTCTGCCAATGTTTTAGTTTCTCCTCTGTTTCCATTATTATGTTCCCTTTTTGGTCTATAAGTCTATAATAAAAACACGCCATTTTCTAAAATAATTACTGAATAATATTTAAGGACTAAGTGTTAACTAAAGGTTGATGTTTTAAATCCTCCTTTTTAACTCTGTTGTACGGTTTTTTGTGTACACATTTAATCAGAGAGTTCATTATTGATGTTTTATTATTATATATTCTAATCTTTGGGCATCTATCCCGTCAGGATAGTGTCCTTATTACTTTATTAGGACATTTAATTGAAAGCCGAAGTATAGAGTTACATCTCTAGTAGGTAATTTACTTACCCTTTTCGAATCATTAAAATTTTTCTTATATTTTATTATTTGTAAACTCAGATCATCAAGGATCATTTGTGTATAGCCAGAGAATTTTTTAGGATATAAGTAACTAGGTTAACTCTACATAATTGGTGATGGGTAGCTATAAAAAAATTAGACTGTATATATTTGGATAAGTATTAAAATTGTGGTGAAAGCTAAATATTTTAATGAATACCTGTTTTCCTTTTTATTTCAGCAAACAGTTTTACAAGATATCTTGGAAAGTATATGTTAATGCTTTCCTGGCGCCCAATCACATCTTAGAGCAACTTCCATAGTTTATCACTTTCATTTACATTATTTCTATATTTTTTTATTACCTTGTTATTCATTTTCTTATTTTATGATCTCTGTAGGGCATGCAAATTGGCCCAATACTCTTTTGTTTCAAGTAGTCACTCTCCGGCATATTCTGCTAGCCAGCTTTAATTTATTTCTTTTTTGTCACATTGGCGCTCCCTTGTAATTGTTACATTAGTCCAAATACTTTTGTTATATTACACATACACATTTTTGTTACATTGACGTCCAACGCTTCCATTCAGACACTTTTTGTTACATTGCCGTCCAACGCGCCATTCACACACTTTTTGTTACAGTTGGTAATGTGATTGATGTATCTTGCAGAAGTAGAAGCTTATAACTTTTTTATTTGACTAAAAGCATTCTTTCGCAAAAAGTCGCATATTGGAGGATGCTCGCAAATGGAAAAAAGTGGAGAGTATAAGAAAATAGAAAAAGAAATTTAGTATAGCCTACGGGAAAAATATTTCAAACAGAGCCAGCGACCAAGTTATTACAATCTTATATTCGCTATTATGCGAAGAGCACTTAAAGGATGGGAAAAGGGCATCTCAATAAAGGGTCATAAACTAAACAACCTACGTTTCGCAGATGACACAGCCCTTCTTGCAAATAGTCAAGCAGAGCTGATGGAACTTATACGACTGATCGAAAACGAAAGTCAAATATTTAGTCTGCAATTAAACATATCAAAGACAAAGATCATGACAGTGGATAGACTACACAAAAATCATCCACATATAACCACAATTGACAGGTTCGAGGTTGTGAGCTCATACTTATATCTGGGATCATTAATCACAAACACAGGGTCATTACAAGAAGAGATTAAACGTAGATGTGATCTAGCAAAAGTTGCCACAACAAAAATGACCAAAATATGGAAGGACTGTCAAATTTCAAGAGCGATAAAGATGAGGTTGATCAACTGCTTAATATTCCCAATACTGACCTACGGATGTGAATCTTGGACTCTGAGACAATCGGAGAGAAGAAAGATAGACGCCACTGAAATGTTCTGTTGGAGACGAATGTTACGAATTCCTTGGACCGACCGTAGAACAAATAATTCAATTTTAAGAGAGCTAAAAGTTAGCCAACGACTCTCTAGTAAAGTCCATCTCCAACAATTAAAATATTTTGGGCATGTTATGAGAGCAAACATAGAAAACATGGAAAGACTCATAATACAAGGAAAGGTAGAGGGCCGAAGATCACGAGGAAGATCCCCAACAAGATGGATAGATCAAATTACAGGAATATGCCAAAGACCTATGCATGAATTAAAAGAAATGACCAGAGACAGAGATCTCTGGAGACGGACAATACACGACATTACGTCGACCACTACACTTCCCCTGGGGGGTCAGGATTGAAGAAAGAGATTCGCTATTGACAAATAATAATAAATCGCTATGAACAACTCATTCGACACTACCCACTTAAACATAATTTGACGTTAAATTAGTAGTGCTAAACAGGATCTTTTTGAAATCTACAATCTAAATATTAGAATAAATCAAGGTTTAGAACAAGTTTATAAATAGTGTGGAAAAAACACCTACAAAATTCACAGATCAATAGTGCAATTGCAAAGCTCTACAAATTTGATTGACCAAACTCAACTTACATTATTTTTTAAATCCGTCTCATCTAAGTTAACAGGAACTGTAATTTCATTCTTGTGATAATAGTGGTCATCAGGAGGTTGGTTCTCTCTTTCCGTGTCGGGCATGATATGCACAGCCGTCGTTATTTTATCAACATGTTCGTGTTTGCCATTTTGGGAGTTGTGTGAGTTATCTAAGGAGGAGTGAGGGTCTTGTGCAGTATCACTACCACCATAACTGCTATCAGCGTCCATAACCTACAAAAATATAAAATAAAAATGTTAGTTTGAGATAGTTCTGATTTGTTTGAAATAAGTTAATTTAGTGACCTCCAGCGGTACAGTTAGAACAAATTTTAATAGGCAATATATATCGTAATTATAAACCTGTTGCAAGAAAGATCTACAGTTAAACTACCATGTATACTGTCAAACAATTAAATAATTAAGCTGAAATCAGAAAATGAAAAAAAAAGAGGTACCCCGAGAATAGAATATGATGATACGATAGACAAGAAAGAAATAATATCAATAATAATCAAGTAACAGTATAGTGCAAGTCAAAAAAATTTGACTGGTAAAACTGTCATTTACCATGCTTATGCACTCAAGGAGAATAATTAAAGAGCCTTTATAGTTAATAGTTACATAGATAATCAATTAGAAGTAATAAAATTAACGTTAAAAGCAATAACATCTTTTCATAAGCTAAAACTACACACAGCTTACCATCGCATGTTCGAACCGATTTCTCCTTGCAATTAGAGCTTTATTTAACTCTTTCATAAAGTCTTGTGTCGGATTATTAGATCTGACACAATGAACGTTTAGACTTTGTTGTTCCCAAGGCCTTTCGCCTAGCCGTTCTATTCGTCGTTTCAATTTTGTATCTTCTATTGAATGGGATAAAGGAAGTCCACTAACTCCAGTTTGTTTATTAAAATTAATACGTTCAAAATTTGCTTGAGCTTCTAATGGCTTAGTTTTTCTCAGTGGGGGAATAGGAGGATGCGGAGGTATAAATTTCTTCATATCTGGACTAACTTGTCCCAAAATTGGTTTGGGAGTATTATTCTCAGATATTTCCTCCAGCATTTCTGATTTTCTGTTGAACATTTTAGGAGTAAACTGGTCCAGTTTAAGGTTATTTTCACAAATAGGAACAGTATTGGGGATGCTTTCATTTTCAGAAATGCACGTTTTATTCAGAAGAATTTTAAGATTATCATTTTGCAAAGACGTGTATCTTTCTGGTGCTTCTTCCATTATAATCGCTGTATCGGCTGAAAATTTATAAAATTGGAATTGTTGCACAAGTACAGGAATTGGTTAAGGTACTTCAGTACGATTTCTTATTAAAATTAAAATAAGCAAATAATTTCAAATGAGTTTTGTGATTTAATCTACAGAATTCAAACAATAAAGCTAGTCCCAAGTTATTTTGAATCCTTTAGTTTTAAGATATATATTAAAAACAATTTACTCAGCGGTAATTTTATTAACGTTACATATAATATCTTGTAATACTAAAATGCAATATTTAGCCATTTTGCTCCCATATATAACTGTTACATATGGATAGATACCGGATTAAAAATTAGGGCGCCCCATGGCCTGATGCACTGCGATCTTTCCCATTATACTATGCTTTCTGTTTGTCATTTAAAAGTCATATTTTCTTAAGGTACAGTATTTATGTGACCTTTTGGCATAAAATGGCACAAAACATGTAGAACGGCTTTTCTTCTTCTAGACAAAACCAATATAAATATTCTCTTATTGCCAAATACAACTAAAATGCATCTCTAGCCTAGTCTATAGGTCAGTCTGTGCGTCAGTAGGTCATCTTAAACTGTGGCCGAGTGTCATCTAATAAGTTATTAAGTTTTTTTGTCCTATTCTTTGTTTCAAGTTAAGAAAATAACATTACGCTTATGGAGATCAGTGTTGCCAAAACTCTCAGACACTCTCTTTTGCACGGATGGCCAAGATATTCCCTTTGCTTAATTTTTGAATTTTCATTTTCAATTAACATTTACCTGTAAAGTCAGAATAACTACTAAATAAAAGCCTTATTATCACTATGTAGTCAGAGAACGACATAAAATAGCTGACATACGCACATCGTATTATTTTAAGTTGCAATTAGTAATTAGATATACGCATTCCAAGCGGTCAATATTTTCTACTGATTTCTATGATTCATGGCATATCGTATTCTCACCGAAAAACAAATAAACTGTCGTTACTATAATTAAAATAAGATAAAATAAAATTATCTTTTGTAAATACTATTTATCTAATTAAAATCATTTTCCCTACTTTTCATCTCTTGTTTCGAATGGGTATTTTTGGTCAATTACGTTAAAAAACATTAATTTAATTCATGTTTGTGGAAACAAAAATACAAATTATACAACCCTAAATTGTGCTTGTGTGTGTCGTGGCAACGCCGCGTTCTATCGTCCATAAGAAATACATGGCCCTATCTCCGCAATGTTATTTTCTAAACGTGGAACGTAGTATAGTGAATTTCATCACCATCCGAGAAATTTATTTTAAACTAATTTGTCAATGGCTATTTTGTTGTTGTTTGTTTACAATTCTAAAGGACTTAGGGCAAACTAGTGGCGTAAATGCGTAAATTTATCTGCGTACTCGTTAGCCTGGTAACTTCTGTCCCGTCATCCAGACTATTTTCAATCTATTTTGACTTCTAACCTACGATAGAACATCCAAGTAGTCTCACACTAGCCCTGAATTATCCTGCAACGAATTAAGTGTCTTTACAGCGAATTGAATCGAATTTTTTTAGGTTGAAACGACAAACACTTATTTTAAAATTTCAATTCAAATTGTAATTATTCACAAAAGTTTTATGTGTTTTTATTTGTCCAATCGTGTATACAATCTCAAAACTTCAAAAGAGACTGTACCTACAAGAGCCATAGTATTTTTTATACTAATATACATAAATATAATGGGTACCTACATAAGCATAAAAAATACACAAAAAATAGGACGACGTATCATAATTGAGGTAGTTGCCCAGCTGAACTCTTAATAACTTTTTTTGTTAGCGGCGAGTCAAATCATCGACCTGAATGAACAACGGGCAACACTTTTGAATGATTCAATAAATGACCTCTATAACGTTCGATAATTTTTTTAATCGGCCTTGTGGGTACCATTACTAAGTACCAACCTAGCTAGGCACCGTGCACATTGCGGTGGATTTGGTTTACCTTTTCGCACGATTGAAACACACATTCTATGAGTATTTCTCTCTCTGGCGTTGCAAAAGACACAATGACGTGGCTTGAACGAATATTTCACAGCCTCTTTCGCGGTGCGGTCGACAAATATTCGAAGGACATCTTCTACTCCATTTATTTTAATAAACTGGGTGTTGAATCTGTTAGCCAAATAGATTTTAGTTGGTATAGTCTGATTTTTAATACATTGTAGTACTGTTATTTGAATTTTTTTTCTAAGGCTTTTTCTAATATTGATTAAATCTTCTTGTCTTTTTTTGTCATTATCGACTTCGGTCACTATCCATTTGAATAGGTTTGGCCATGTTATTAAAAATTTCCATTGTACGGTCTCTGTATTTAAAAAAATATCGGTGGGAACATGATATATTGTTGAATTTTAAATTTCATTCAAAAAATTATATTTTCAAGAACTCGGTGGATAATTAACCACTAACTAATTACCTTTTGAATTTTAACAGTTTTACTAAAATGCGTCTGTACACGTTGACTTCGCATCGACTAATCAGCGATCTCATATAAAAACTAAAACACTACCAGAAAGTGGCCAAATTGCTTTCGCTGCACAAAACAAAGTTATCATTTAAGCATTCTTACGTCTACTACATACTGCAGATGAACCAACCGCGATTTCTAAGTATTGAGACCGAGCACCGCTAGGCACGAGCTTGGTGGCCAGACGCTCTGGATGGTCGGTTGGCGAGATAGGCAAACACGGTTTGCTAAATCGACAGCCGATCCGACACTCACAAAGCTCCTGTGTAGAGTGAGGGTGAGAAAGGTTAAAACCCAAGGTCACTGGCTTACTAGACAGAAATACATTTGGAGAAGAGGTAATTCTAGAGGTTTCACGAAAAAAAAGGTAAACACCGGGAGAAATAATCCTACCTACTAAAGTTCATCCAAGATTAAATAAAATTAAGTAAAGCCTCCATAACACTGTATCTGCAATTGGGGAAGGGTGGAAGTAGCTTGAGGGTCAGCGAGGTACCGTCTCCGTGGAGCATGATCTCCTTGATCTTCACAGATCACCTTATTCCAGGAAACTCTTATTCCTTGGAGCTGGGATTTATTTGTTGTGTATTTGTGTGTACTACCTGTATTTATTGTCACATTTAAGTATACGAAAGATTCAGAGTAGCATTTACTATAGATGGTCTTAAGGCACACTTATAAAGTTTTAATATAAGTTTTATTGGAATTTTCCACCACATAAAACATCGCTGACAACAGAAAGCCAAGAAAGAAATAAGACTAATCCGAGAAAAAACTTTATAAAGTTATCAAAATAGTGTCAAATAGAATTGGATTTGCTAGAGTTTCGTGTTCCATTTTTCTTTTAATTTTTTTGCAAGACTTTTCATTTTTATTAGTTATTAATTGCTATTCATATAAGTAAATATCAGTATCACAATGGGAGAGCAGTAACATATTGTAAGTCATGTCATAACTGAAAATAGAAATATTTAGAGGTAAGTATAAATAGTTTCTGCATTAAGGTGATGAATTTGGTTTTTTATATCAATGCTTTTTGGTCAAGTTGTTTGAATCATAAGGTAAAATAATCAATAAAGAATGTAGAAAAATAAAAATACACTGGAATGAATCACTACCATTAATTAGTTAATCGGTAATTTTTGTAATTTTTCAAACTGGTAAGTTATTTGGAATTTTATGGATGCTTCAAAAACTATTTGTCATCAACTATTTGGAATGATACAATGAATGAGGCAAATCCTGTTTATAAATTTTACAAAATACCTACTAATTGTAGTGTATTTTTTATAAAAAATAATACTTCGTTATTTTTGTTCTCTGTTGTTTTTTAGTTGTTTTTTTTTAATTCAACTATCTGTACGTTTGTAATCTTTGTTTTGGAAGGGCTATTTGAGAAATAAAGAAACTTCTTTTTAAAAATTACATTTTTTTCCTTAGTTTAGTGGAAGCTATTTTTAATATTTAACTCTTTAATATTTAACT